GGGGGGGAGGAGGTTATGACTATGATAATTTCGCGCACACGCGGTTCCTTCCATCATTGGTGGTTACATATGGAGCTTAGCTGTAAAACCTTGATGCGAACATCCTGCCCTTTTTACGACGCAACGTCGAAGATAAAGATGTTCGGAAATAAATGCCCGGCCAATTGGAGCAATTCCGGTTGGGGCGTAAAAACATAAAAGCCGAGTAGAGACGTTCCGCGCGAGTATTCCGCGGTCTTATGAGTCTTGCCGAATACATGGAAATTATTTAAAGGAGAGCGCGTGTGTTGTGTACATCTTTCGAACGAATTATTTTCGCGGATGAATTATTTTGTATTAGGCCACACGTTAAATTAAGATAAGAGTGATAAGAATCAAAACTCGAAAATGTTACAGAATTTTCCTCAATAACAAAATTGATCGTGAACTTTTGAAGTGTTTAAGCGAAATTTTTGGAGACTTTTTAGATATTAATCGTTTCCGTAATTATTCGTTTCAATATGTAATGTGTAGTTACGTACTATTTTTATATAAGTGTTACAATTATGATATTATTATATGAATACTGATTATATATTTATCGTATTAGATGCAAGATCCTGTTCCTAAATATATATAGGTCTTGTCATTGTTATCTTTATTAACAATGCGGATAGATTGCGTCTTTCTAATCGCGAAGTATTGGCAAAACAAGACGGCCGACATATAATTCCGCTGGCCAGTGCGAGACGAATCCAGAATCGACTTTTTATGAGCCTCATAAAGGCTCTCTGCTCCGGCATGCTAATTAATTCCTGGTTTACGGCTCATCGACACAAAGAAAATGCCGCGGAAACTCATGATCGCAGTTTAGAGCTGCAGGCTCGAAATATTTCAAGGTCTTCAAGAAATCAATTGTTATATGTGTTATTAGATCATAGGATCAAATAACGATTGTTAGATTGATAATATTGCATAGAAGCTTCTTTATGGCTAATTATTTTATATTTTTTGATATTTTTAGGGAATTATTTACATTTTTATTGAATTATTCAAAAAAGAGATTGCACAAGAATGAAATTAGCTGTAAATTGTATGAGGTTATAAATCTGTTTTAATCTACATCGAGTTTTTTAAAGCTACCGAACAAATCATTCGCTGATTTGCCCTTGCCAATTCTCAATGCTTCGTCAACACGTCTGGTTGTTTCATCCAGTATAAACTATTCACGATAGTCCTCGAGTTTCTTCATTTCAATTTCAGTCAATTCGTATACAGAACCCGCTTTTCCACCCGTTTCGTTCGGCAACGCATCCACAAATTATTAGGCATAGTAGCACATTATTTTTATATTGAAAAGAAAATTTTTTTGCGATAAATTTACCGAAAGATAAGATTCCAACATATTTTTCACATAGGAACGCTCCACGCGTGATCATCGGCAATCGACGGCTTGATCGCCGAACCGCGAGCGGTAGTGGGACAGTAGACGTCGCTTCAGAAATCGGCCCGAAATATGTAAATAATTCCGAGCACTGAATTATAGAAATAGAAAAAGTCATCAAAATAGACAGGAGCGTCATTTTTGAGAAAATTTTTTTTTTCATGATATATTATCAAATATAATATTAAATTACAAAAATATAATAAAATATTCGTTAAACAAGTAATTTCGTTTAAAATAAAATCAAATGATCGAAAATGTTAAAAGCGTATAAAATAGTTAAAAGCGTATTCGCAATCAGAAATTATTCCGCTCCATTCGCCAGTGAATGTTAATTAGGCTCACGATGAAGCGATCTCTCCCTCTTTCTCGTTCTCTCGCGATCTCGCCCTTTTTTCCACCGTGGCCTTGCAGCTGCACCGGTTGCATCGGCCTGGTGCAGCATGGGGAGAAACGCATCCTTTGTGTGCGCTTGAGTGGCCCGAGGAGGAGGCGACACAAAGAGAACTCGAATCGAAATCGAAACGCGACGACGACGGAACGTAATCGAGCGTAATGGCAGGAGTGAATTCACTCTCCACCTCGTCAATCCTTTCGCCTTTCGTGATTTGGCGCTAACAATCGCAGCATAAGTCAGCGGTTATTAATGATCGAGAAACGGGCGAGTCGGCCGTGCGAATGAAAGCGAGTCCTCGCGATCGCGATCAGCCTCGAAGTATATCGATCTCAGACACATTTTTCGAGCATTGCGCTCTGGGGCCTCGTCAATCAAACTCATTATCAGAACGATCGAAAGAGTACGACGACAGCGACTATTTTTCATAGGCGGGGGTCGCCCGACAGTGACGAGGAGGGCGTATGCTGCACTGTCGCACAAAACGGCGACTTTATAATATGGGTTGCAGAAAAGAGGCGTTCCTGCGCTCAATAATGTTTCAGACTGGAGAAGATTGGCCTTGCCAATCGCGATGGTAAAGGCTTAATTATTGTAATTAGCTAGGGTACATCGATAATAATTCAATGGGTTAATAGCTGTCACTGATTTTAATTACTTATATTATTGCTTGTATTAGAAGCATAAGATTGTTGTTAGAACATTATTTATATCATTATTTAATGTCATTATTGAACGTACAATGAAATCGCAGGGTCGATAAAGAATCTATAAATTCAAAGTAGTATCACAGTTTTCTCGAAATATACACTAATACATCATTTAATTAGTCCCCCAATATCATGTTAGAAAAGGAAAATTTGCTTTAAGACATGAATATCAATTTTTAATTAAAATTCTAATTTTAAGATAAATGCAACCAAATTTTTAATTACGT